GGTTTCTAACGTGATGTGATGTAATGTGCACCCGTGCGAAGCCGGGGCGGGCCGCTAGTGAAGAATATAATATATCCCTGTCACGTGGATAAAGTCACGAATAAAACAAATGTAATAATATAAATTAAACAATAGTACTTAGTGTTGTTGAAAAACATTATGTCTCATCCGTTCTAATTGGAGTTAGTTATGCAGAAAACGTTCGTACGGCAAAAAAGTCAAAAATATTTGAATGAAATACAAAATTAGCTAATCCTTTGTTTCATGACAATAACTAGCGACTCGCTCCGACTTCGCACGGGCAGTAAAGCATACATATTTACAGTTTTAGTATCGAGTTTGAATTACGCGGGTATGGCAAGTTATAATACACGTTGGGGGGATTGTTAGTAATGAGATTTAACAGCCCCATTGCTTGCAATACACCCTACCAGGTCGACCTCCACGCGGTTCTCCCTGGAAACCATAGTGGTTAATTCTTGTTCAATTAATCACTATGGGCCAACTGACCTGCCTTCACCTGTCACCCTTCACTGGTACCTTGCCAGCGTATACCGATAGTGCAGACGGGGTCACCGTTCCATCTTCACTCATTTTTAAAAAAAGTTATTTATTCAATGTGTCAAGCCAGTATAGAAAAAAATAGACTTTAGTCATTTATTATGACACAAGAATATATATATATATATATATATATATATATATATATATATATATATATATGTATATATATATTTATATACTGTGATCGCTAAGAGAGCGAATTGGGAAACTGTTAGTATATTTTATTTGCATTATACAATATAAAGAATAAACGAGACAATTAATTATAACGATGCATTTGTATAAGTACAGTAAGGCGGTGTTATTGCTGAGAGCAATCTTTTCAAGACAACCTTAGGGTAACGGACTAATTGTTGTACAAGTAGGTATGATAGTACTGTATAATTAAGGAAGTTTAGAATAACAACGTTTAACATTAAGGAAAACAATTATAAGTACCTATTATCAAAGTTAAAAACAAAACTATTAATTAGATACATATGTAAATGCATAGATATATATATATATATATATATATATATTAAATATGTATTACCGGAGGGAGACTTTGTACAAAAATCGATTGCTTGTGTACCTCTGTCCCATTCGTGTTTCTACCGTGAAGCAGTTGTGTTTGCATGGCTGTGTTACGGTTTGAAGGGTGGGATATGGCGTGAATTTACAGGTTACAGAGGAATAACACCTGAGTCCTCAGGTATGGCAACGCATGGGAGGTATCATGGGCGAAATAGTATACTCTGTTATGTCCATGGTACTGCTCATGTCTATAGGCGACAATTACCACTTTCCATGAGATGGGCCGTCAGCTTGTTTGCCATTCTAAGTTGCATAAAAAAAAGTAGACCTGATAGGGTATATTGCTAGTAATGGAGCTGATAATGCCTCATTACTAACAATCCCTTTCCCCCCTTTCACGTCGCGTTGAGTAGGATTTTATACTGCAATTTCTGCAACAAATTTATATCTTACCAATACGAGAATAAACCCAATAAATTTCGAAAACAACTATCAAAATCGGTTCAGGTAACACAAGAGAATTGAAACTCTTCTTTCGGAAGTTACTAGAAAATTGTTCAGATCTTAAAAGAACGATTCGTTCCCGTAGAACGTTCTAGGTCCTTTCTAGAAAAGCATAAACACTGTATCGACGTGTACAAATGCTGTATTACCGGTTGCCACTATAAATAGAATACTAACTTGCTGAACGGCGGTCGTTTCAAGTTTTATTGTCTATTCCATATTAAGTAATCTATGTATCTCTGTTAGAGATAATATATAGCAATAACTATATATAGTGGCTACAATATCTATGTATTGGCCTAATAACGAATGTTATTAGGCCAATATATAATTAAATCGCGGTTATCCAATATATAATACGGCAATGAAGAACTCTATCGAAATTAATACAGATAAGACCAGAGAGAGACTTTGTACAAAAGACGTTTGCTTGTGCACCTCTGTCCCGTTCGTGTTTCTACCGTGAAGCAGTTGTGTTTATATGGCTGTGTTTTGATTTAAAAAGTTTTTTTTTTTATTGATAAAAATGGAATGGCTGCCCCGCCTGCGCTATCGGGATACGCTGGCAGGACACCAGTGAGGGATGATAGGTGAAGATGAAGCAGGTCAGTTGGCCCATCGTGATGAATTGATCAAAACTTAATCACGATGGTTTCCAGAGAGAACCGCTTGGAGGTCGACCTGTTAGGGTATATTGCTAATAATAGGTCTGTTTTTTTTTTTTTGATGGGTGAAAATGATATGGTAACCCCGCCTGCGCTAACGGGATACGCTGGTGGAGCACCAGTGAAGGGTGATAGATGAGAACGAAAACAGGCCAGTTAGCCCATCATGATGAATTCATCAGGAATTAACCATGATAGTTTCCAGGGAGAACCGCGAGGAGGTCGACCTGGTTGGGTATATTGCTAGCAATGGGATTCTCAGTCTCCAATACTAATAATCCCTTTCCCCCCAATATACAGATATTGTAACTAAAATACATAGGTATCATTATATATTACCCACCCCTTTGTTTTATATATAAACCGTTTATATAATGAAACCTATGGCATAGTGTAAAGAATTCAAATATAGAGGTAGCTATCGATTTTCTTGTCGTTTCTCCTTGGCAATGACCTTCCGAATTCGATAATACGGTAGTATCACGCTTGACTAATGTATGATGGTAGGCTACAAGGGGTTGTTAGTAATGGGCTCTATTTATCTATCTAAGTAAAGGTCTAATAATTCCGACTGAATTCTATGCGATGTGCTAACTGGCCTGTCTTTTCATCCTCACCTATCATCCCTCACTGGTGCCCCACTAGCCCCGTTAGCGCAGGCGGGGTCAACGTTACGTTATCATCTATTGATAAAAATCTCGGTTACGCGGACAAAATCGTGAGTAAAGACTAGTATAAAAGTATTATGATTTCATTCATAAATCGATATGTACTAACGTACGTAGTTACATGTATACTTCAATGACTCCACTCAATTGCGCTCAACTGTAGATATTCGTATATTTCGCAGTATGAAAAAAAGCCCATCAAGTGCGATCAGGATTCACGCAACGAGGGTTCCGTACAAAATCATCAAGTTTATTTTTTTTTTTGTAAAATAACTGCAAATTACGGTTTTCGGATTTTTTCCTTTACTTGTGCTACATGACATTACTTCTTGCTAAATTTCATTATTCCAAACCCTATAGGTTTTGATTCCCTTTGCGAATGTCAAATTATGCGATATAAATGGAACATAAACGGCCGTATCTTTAAATTGTATCAATTTAAAAGCTTGATTTCTTCACTGCTTTAAGAGATAGCAGACTTGAGTATATGGTATATTAATTTCAACTTGATTCCTGCACGCGTTTCTAAGCAATAGGGTCTTGACAGACGGACGGAAGGACAACGAAGTGATCCTATAAGGGTTCCGTTGTTTCCATTGGTGGTACGGAACCCTAAATATATTAAAACAATTGATCAAATACATTTATTACGTGAAGACTGTTGCCAACTTCGATCTGGTTAGTAGTCACAAGTAGTTTAAACAAGTGAACGCAATAAATTCACAAAAACGTGACGGTTAAATTATTTTTTGATATATTTATTTTATTATTGTCGTCATAATACAGTATATAAGATAAGAATGGAAGAGACATACATACATATTACGCCGACCCCAAATAATAATTGGGACAATTGTAGGAACGTGATGATGTATACAATGATTCTGTTTACGTTGTTTTTAATAATTGTTTTAATATCTTTACTATTTTTATGGGTTTTTTATGGATAATAATAAAATGGTAACCCCGCCTGCGCTATCGGGATGAAAGCAGGTCAATTAACCCATCGTGATCAATTTAACTATAAAATAGTCACGATGATTTGCAGGCGGATCCGCGTGGAGGTCGACCTAATAGGGTATAATGGGGGGAAAGGGATTGTTAGCAATGGTGTTTGACAGCCCCATTGCTAGCAATATGCCCTATTAGGTTGACCTCCACGTTGTTCCCCCTGGAAACCGTCGTGAACAATTCTTGTTGAATTCGTCACGATGGGCTAACTGACCTACTTCATCCTCATCTATCATCCCTCACTGGTGCCCCGCCGGTGTATACCGATAGCTCGGGTAGGGTTACCATTCCATTATCATCCATTAAAAAAAAATAAGGGTATAATGACAGCAATGGGGACTAACCTCCCCATTACTAACAATCCCTTCTCCTTAAGTATTCTTATGTTATACAAGTGGTATGCCATAATTTTATTTTGTCGTTTTGTATTAACAATAAAATTAGGCAATTTTATTTATTTCAATGTGAAATCGTGTCTTAAGAAAATGGTGTGTGCATCTGTAATTGATGTAAATGCAAGGTGCAAGCCCTGTATATCAATTAAAATTAATAGAATAGAATAGAAATATTTATTGCCAGTTAACATATAATTACAATATAAAATATAGAAAATACATATACAAGAAGTGTCTCATACTAGGTAAAAGGAACCGGCTCAGCTGATGCTGCGAGTGTCCCAGCGTAACGTGAACAGCTGCACAGCGCTGGTTTACAGCCAGTCCCTCTCTTAACAAAATACAACCAAAGTGCAGGGTACCACTGCAAAGTTAATGTCTGTATTTACACTGTTGATGTGTCTTTTAAAATAAATAAATAAAAACAACTGTAAGATATTATATCTTACAGACTCCCACATCAAAAGGGGGCGAAAAGTCGACCTCCACGCGGTTCCCCCTGGAAACTATCGTGGTTAATTCTTGTGAAATTGATCACGATGAGCTAACTGGCCTGCTTTCATTCTCACCTATCAAGTCTAACTGGGTTCCGCCAGCGTTATATCGATAGCCCCGACGAGATTATTATAGCATCGTACCCTTAGCACGTAATATAATAAAAATTAAAAAAGACTTACCCAAAAACGACCGCACCCCCAGTGTTCCTCTCGCGACGGACAATATCATTGCCAGCAGCGATACGCCGCCGCCAGCAAAAATGTACGCTTGCTTAGCGTTCCCGCCGGCTTCCTTGGTGTCCTTCCGTCTCTTCCACAGCGGCAAACATGATGATGCACATATAAACACCGCAAAAACTATACACTCCCACGCCAACCAGCCGGAATTCATCTTGGATCTGAAATGAAAATAATGTCTTATTTATAACTAAATTTTACTGGGGGGAAAAGGATTGTTCGCAATGGAGTTTGACAGCCCCATTGCTAGCAATATGCCTTATTAGGTCAACTTTAGAAGATTGGGAGGGAGGCGTCTCTGTCGGGGGTGTAAAGATCAGTAACCTCCGATGTGCTGATGACACCACACTTTTCGCGTCGTCAGAAACGGAACTCGCCGCATTATACAACAGTGGAATATGAGAGTAAAATGGTTGGACTTGATATCAACAAATCAAAGACAAAAGTCATGCTCGTCAATAGAACCAGCCAACTATCTAGGACTGGTGAACTCTCTGATCTGGAGTTTGTGAGTGAGTTCGTCTACCTGGGATCTCTCCTGACCAACGAAGGAGCAAGCGAGCGAGAAATCAGAAGAAGGACTCAAATAGCAAAGACCGCAATTAACGTGCATTTGGCAGAACAGAAAAATCTCAAATGTCACCAAGACAAGACTAGTCCGTACTCTGATTTTCTCGATATTTTTGTATGGAGTCGAGTCATGGACAATACGAGCAAAGGAGCGAAAAAAAGATAGATGCTCTCGAGATGTGGTGCTGGCGAAGGATGCTGAGAATTTCGTAGACAGCAAAGGGCACGAATATATCTATCCTGACGCAACTCCGCATAAAAGATAGGCTCTCGACAGTCTACTATCGGAGGATTCTTGGATACTTCGGCCATGTTGCTCGACGACAGTCCGACAATCCGGACAAAGTAATGGTTGTAGGCAAGATAGAGGGAAAAAGACCACGCGGACGATCGCCTAATCGATGGTTGGACCAAATAACCGCCGCTACGGGACTGTCAATTGCAGCTGCCCTGCGTGAAGCTGAAGACCGTGCACAATGGAATAACATCATAAGAGAGGCAACGGACACCTTTCAAGGACACGACCTTCAGTAATGAAGAGGACGAAGAGAGAGAGAGAGAGAGAGAGGTCAACCTCCACGTGTTTCCCCTGGAAACCATCGTGAACTATTCTTGTTGAATTCGTCACGATGGGCTAACTGACCTACTTCATCCTCACCTATTATCCTTCACTGGCGCCCCGCAAGTGTATACCAATAGCGCGGGTGGGGTTACCATTCCATTATCATCCATTAAAAAAAAACTAAATTTTACTTACTTAGGGTCTTTTACAGTATGAGTACACTTCCCAAAAATAGTTGACATAATTATTGATAATTTTTTTTTTACAGTGGTATTTCGCTGCTCACTTTTGGCCATAACAGAATATCAGTGTTTTGCTCTTTTTAGGGCAAAGCAAAAAATTTAGTTGTGGCCATTTTATATTACAGTGGCACACGCATGAAGAAAAAAAATTGTTACTAATTTTACGCATTCTGATTTTGTTTTTGATTTTTCTTTTTTATTTTGTACATATATCTTTTTTTTATCTTTTTTCACTTTGCATTTGTGTCTTTTGCTGTTTGTGTGCTGTAAGTAATGCAAATAAATAATTTATCTATCTTATCTATCTATAATGTATTGAAGACTTGACATAAATTTGCTATTGGTAAAACATATGGAATACCATCTCCTCTCCTTAAGAGGGGAGATGTGAATTTTGTAAAAATTTTAAAAACAATAATAATGTAATTGTTAATTTTATTTGACGATATTGAATATGTATCTACACATATTTATTGGTTTCATTTGAATTTGTTTTTTTTTTATTCTATAATCTTAATAATCACAAACACTAATTTGTATCCCTTATTTAAATAATAAATTTGATTTGCATGTTTACAATTTTAAGGCAATTAAACAGATGCTTGCAGATTTTCACCAGAGAGAGTACAAAAGTCGATTGCTTGGGTACCTCTGTCCTATTTGTGTTTCTACCGAGAAGCAATTATATTTGCATGGTTGTGTTTCGGTTTGAAGGGTAGGGTATGGCGTGAATTTACAGGGTACAGAGGAATAACACTTGAGTCCTCAGGAATGGCAATGCATGGGGGGTATCATGGGCGAAACAGTATGTGTGTTTACTGTTATGTCCATAGTACTGCTCATGTCTATAGGCGACGGTTACCACTTTCCATCAGGTGGGCCGTCAGCTTGTTTACCATTCTAAGTCGTATAAAAAAAAAAGTAATTGTCAGGTAAATTTGTGGTATGTACTTACAACAAATAATTAAAATGGTGTATTACAAAAAAAAAACTAACACAATTTTGGCAACACCACTAGACACGATATAAGCACAGCTGTTTCACGGTAGAAACACAGACGAGTTTTCAACGAAGTCTGCCTATAATAATTTCAATTGTACTGATAATAAAATTTCAAAAATAAATTCTTAATAGAATATAAACTTTGTGTAAACACATAAACGTAAAATAATAAATGTCCAATGTCCCACACGGTAAGTGTACTATGCTATGTTTAGTCTTGGAGCATGTTTGTAATGTCTTCTGTGGTTTAATTCATTACTCATTTGAATCGTACACCGTACGTGACAAGATAATAACATGAGTTGAACGCAACAAATTTCTATACACATTGTTATCTATCTACGCATATAATTATATACACAATTAATATCATTAGATATTATTTCGTGTTTTGTTTAGATGTAAATTATAATATTCACACTGCAGAAGTAAATACCATATTATCACAAAAAAATGAAGAAAATGACAATATTTTTGTAAACAGTCTTAAAAAGTTATTAATTACAAAATGCACGAATTTACTGGGTACAGAGGAATAACACCTGAGTCCTCAGGAATAGCAACGCATGGGGGGTATCGTGGGCGAAACAGTATACTCTGTTATGTCCATGGTACTGCTCATGTCTATAGGTGACGGTTACCACTTTACATCAGGTGGGTCGTCAGCTTGTTTGCCATTCTAAGTTGTATATAAAAAAAAATGCTACTATACTATTGACGAATACTTGAATGACAAGCAGAGTTTATCTTGTAATTTAACAATAAATAATTAATTATAAATTGATAATGATTTAAGACATAGCTAAAACTGACATCGCTGAAATTTTATTATTAAAGTAACTAACTAACTGGCCTGTTTTCATTCTCATCTATCACCCTTCACTGGTGCTCCGCCAGCGTATTCCGTTAGCGCAGGCGGGGTTACCATACCCCACCTGGTACCGGGGGTGAAAATGGTATCATTTTCACCCATCAAAAAAAAAATAGTGATCTCTTGAATATTGATTTCCTCTAGTCGCCTCTTACGACACCGGCATTTAGTGATATTTTAATAGAGACTCAGCAGCCCATCCTTTGAACAATGAGCTCCCTTAATCGCCTCTCACGACACCCACGGGAAAGGAATGGGTGGCCCGTTCTAAACTAGGCAAGAAATGTGCACCAGTCCTTCTTAAAACACCACCAGAGCCTAACTGCGGTTGCCAACCCACCTGCCAAACGTGGCAATATTCCTCTTATGGGGAAGGCCTATGTTCAGCATAGGATAATAATAATATGATGATAATGGATATATTTATGTTATAAGTATATATATATATATATATATATATATATATATATATATATATATATATATATATATATATATATTATAAGTAAGTATGTATGTAAAGGAAAAAAAAAGAAAAAAAAAACCCAGGTAGACCTTCAATAGCAAAACTAAAATAGCAAAAAAGTTGTCGTATAAAAATTTACGACAGAAAATAAAGTTTTTTTTAAAAAAAAAGCTAGCTATAGCTATACTAGCGACCCGCCCTGGCTTCGCACGGGTGCACATTACATCACATCACATTAGAAACCTCTAAATTTATCAGTGTTCCTCTACTATATTATGCATGTATTATACATATAAACCTTCCTCTTGAATCACTCTATCTATTAAAAAAAACCGCTTCAAAATCTGTTGCGTAGTTTTAAAGATTTAAGCATACATAGTGACGGACAGACAGCGACAGCGACTTTGTTTTATACTATGTAGTGATGATGACGGTGATACACCTAAAGAACTGAAGTTAAAACTCAATTCAATATGTTAAACATTTAGATAGTGGAAATTTCGGTTAATACTCGTATCGTGCAAAATTTATTGTGTACCTACCTACGTAAAACTGATAGCGAGCTCCTATGAAAACCGGCTTCGTAGGTGCAAAATGTCTTACGATATATTACGTAATAAAACTGTTTTTTTTTTTATACAGCTTAGAATGGCAAACATGCTGACGGCCCACCTGATGGAAAGTAGTAACCGTCGCCTATAGACATGAGCAGCACCATGGACATAACAGAGTATACTGTTTCGCCCATGATACCCCCCATACGTTGCCATTCCTGAGGACTCAGGTGTTATTCCTCTGTACCCAGTAAATTCACTGCCATATCCCACCCTTCAAACCGAAACACAGCCATGCAAACACAATTGCTTCACGGTAGAAACACGAATGGGACAGAGGTACCCAAGCAAACGATTTTTGTACAAAGTCTCCCTTTGGTATAATAATAAAACTACACAGATCGAATGTCTGTACATAGAAAGAAAAACGCTAAATACCGAGTCAAGAGTATGTTAGAAGTGAAATAGGATACATTCAATTTTTTTTTTATTTTTTTATTTCTCTCTTTGTCTGTTTGTACGGGTTAATCTCTGAAACTGTTGGACCGACTTAAAAGAAATTTTGCATGGTGTTACCTTACATCCCCGGTCAACATTTTAGATACTTTTAATCATGAAAAATTATATACTATGAATTATACTATGAAAAATTATATAGAGATAGTAAAAACCTAAGCAAAGAGTGTTTTTTGGGGGAAAGGGATTGTTAGTAATGGAGACTGAGAACCCCATTGCTAGCAATAAACCCAACCAACTATCTTCTACATATCTATCTATCTATCATGGTTAATTCCTAATGAATTCATAATGGGCTAACTGGCCTGTTTTCATTCTCATATATCAATCACCCTTCACTGATGCTCCGCCAGCGTATTCCGTTAGCGCACGCGGGGT